TGCAATCACCAGCATCAGCACAAAGTGCCCTGATTTGGACATTTTTAAATGAAATTTAGTAGTCATTTATTTATCAGATCAGACTGCTCAGAAAGACGGAGGTTTAAAGCATCTAAGAACTTGCCAAAACCAGAATGCTCTTCCTAATAACATAATACGAAAGTTGCTAGAAAATATTATCATTAACACCAGTTAAAGTTTGTGGATGTTTTTACGCTTTGATTACTACTCCCAACTATCAAACTTTCCACAACTTTCCAAAGGTGTAAGTTTGTAAACAAATTTGCCATAAAGATCAGGAAAAGCATTTATTTACGCACAATTTTTACTTCATAAACTTTGTTGCATAAAAGCAATTGCATGCTTGACAACTATTGAGAAGTGCTCCGTTTCGAATACATATCTAATACATATAAAAAAACTTGATAAGATTAAAGCAATTACAGATAATAACGTCAAAGTTCGGCAACGCCGCGCTTAGCATCTTTTATGAATCCTAAGAGCTTCAATTTCCGGTGAGAAAAAAACTTTGTGCACCGAAAATTGACAAATTCGTTTAGCACGGCGGTGTTATCAAACTCCTCACCCTCATCAGTCTATTAACCGTATTATGTGAAACTTAGAAGTACATAAATATATTAGATATTAACTGGTCAAAATGTAAAAGTGGAAAAATTAATATTAAACTAGGGAAAGAAAACACTGCATAGAGTAATTAAACATGTGAACCTGTACCATGTAACCATGTACAAGCTAAAAGTCCGATTTTCCTCTGGCAAGTCAAAGAGCTAAAGTTTTGGCTTTCGGAAAATAGCTGAAGCTTTATAGTCGATTTTACGTCCCCAGTCCGAACGTGGGACCTCATTAGAAGTTTGCGGGCTTTATGGGTGTTCGACGGACGTATATTTTCCGTACACCTCGCCACTACGTGACCAGTCTATCCTTTAAATTATAACAAAGCACCGTTTTTCGAACAGGATTTATCGCTCCACTCGCTTCCTTAGTTAAAGTTCAGATGGAACTTCTAATGTATTTACAAAAAAGTCGGTGTTTCTCTTAGATACCCTAGAGAGCAAAGTACCGACCGACAGCTTGTTAAAAGCTGTTGAGTATTCCACGAACACTACAGTTAAAAGGCCCGGAATTATAATTCAGCAGTGTATTTTTGAACAGCATGTTTCAATAATTAATTAAATTTCCGATAAATAACAAAGCAAATAAACTAATAAAGACGCGAATTTTAGGATTTAATTTTCAATAAATATTTATATAATTAAATTTGTAATATTTACAATTTCTGAAAATGTGAGCATCTCCTGATTGATCAACCTCTTCATATACTTGCGACATGTACTTAAATTAATTAGGAGAAATCAATTAAACCCAAGCTCCAATTAGTTTACTAATGATAAATCATTTTGTTATTAAGTACTTTTAAAAGCATATGAAATTAAATCGTACATCAAAGCTGAAAGGAGGCATGCTTTAAATAACTACACATCAGACAAATTCGATTTTAATTGACGCCCTTCCTCCCGCGCCATTACCAACCAGACTATTATACGGATCTACTTAATAATCAACATTCGGAAATAATTAAAAAGCAATCTAACAAATCGTTCGATTGTTTTTTATCGGATTAATGTAACTACTGACTGACCGGTGAAAAAACGGATGCTAATTAATAGCGCACCTCAGCTCGGGACACGCTTGAAATCACACAGAAAAAATCTATTTTTCAACAGATTAATATGCTGATATGTTATAATTTAGTAAATTTTCGAAACTGATGGAATAATACCGATGTTCTGTCGTGGTGGCTACTAACTAACCCAAACTAAGCTAAATAAGTTGTGCTTGAAAAGGGTCACAACTTCCACACGAAGCATAACTTGTAAGAGCAGAGAGTTTATCTAGCAAATTTAACTGCTAATTATGTGATCGTAAAGCTGTGCCGAGCTTTTTGAAGATACATAAGAAGACACTGTGTACCCAGTTGCACTTGGTTGTTTTCTAACTCTGTCCTCTTGAAATAAAGAGAAAGAAACCTTCAGGTTGCAATCTTCTACACCATACAGAAGAGCCGGGAATACATAAAATTGCAGCAGTTCTTAGATCCAGGATCAGATGGTGACTATAGAGCAGCTTCTTGATCTTCGTGAACGGTGCACATACTTTCTCAATGCGAATCTTTATTTCTGAACAATAGTCCTAAGAATAGTTAACACTTGTACCCAAGTAGTCATACTTCTCGAGTCTTTCCAGCGCTTTGCCTTCCACATACAGACCCCTATTTGGCACTTCAGTTTTCCGCCATATTCTCGACTATTATCTCGACTTTATCCAACAGTCGAATGTGGATGACTTTAGTGTGTGGCTCATTAGACTGATCGTACGGTGTTATTCGCATTTTCTGGCATTCTGTTTCTTAAGAATTGTCACAAACGTTGACCGAAGCCAATCTTCTGGTCTTATTCCTGTTTCATAATCTTACTAGACAGGGTTGTCACTGGACTCAAATGATGCTCTTTAATCGACTTAAGCGCATCTGCTGGTAAAGCCAGGAGCTTTCTCATCTTTGGCTGATTATATTGGTACCTGTAAAATGGTAGCTGTTTCTTCTCTTTGGTCATAAAAAATGGTTTCAAAGTTCATTGAGTCATTTGATCTTAATATGTTTTCAGCTTGTTTTCAGTGCCAGTTTTGCTGTTTTGCAAGCTGTGTCCTACTGGAAAGTTCGGCTCAACTTCGATATAAGAGTTTTCCCGTGTAACGCAAACCGAGAAATGTGTTTCTCTGATGCAATTAATAATGCAAAAATGTTCCTTTTGAGGCATTAGGGGATGTTGGGGCAGGCCAGTGCGCGAAAGTGGGGAAAAGCGAGCAAAAGGCACCGTTATGTAAATCGGAAATTATTCAATCCCGTCGACTTCATTTGCATGCTGAATGTCGCGACTCACCTTAATGCAACGTCAAGGTGACTTCTTAAATTTAAATGTCGCGCTTCTAATTAGGGCAAAAGCGATTCAAAGTTCCACCGAAATGCCAAAATGCACTTCGGTCCTGATGAAAATGTTCCGCATAAAGTTATGTCTGTTTCACGACCGAGGGGTTTCCAATTATTCGAGTGACGTTATTTATTACGTAGCGTTTTGTTGGGTCCCCGCAGTAATTATATTTCCGACTATGGAGGCAGCAAATTTTACCGACCCCATCAGCGTTGGTCGAGTTTCACTATTTTTTTGCGTCGCACCAGTTTCTTTCCGGGAACATTCGTGGCCTGAGATCAAGGCTGCCAAGTGGGCATTAGCTGGGATGCTACTTAATGAAACGTCAGATGCACCAACGGCATTTGTTACGTCGCGGCCTCTTTGACTGAAATAACTGAACCAACGTCTCGCCTTATCGATATCTGCTGCTGTATTTAGGTTTCTGGACTTAGATGAAATTTGCACGCAGCACTATGAACATCCAGGGTTTTTGGGGAACAAAAACTTGACAAAGTTGCAACCCTTAACGGCAGAACCCTAAATGGTGAGATCCATTTGAAGATTTGAAGATGATTTTCAAAACTTTGTAACACATT